CCATCTTCAATAGTCTTTTTGGTAGGCAATCACATCTAGGCTAACGGAGTTCCATTTGTCGCCATTTAACAAGTCTCAAAAAGTCACTTCTATGTTCACTTTAATTAAAAGCTTTTCACTCGAGCAGAGACGAAGCTCAAAGCTTCGAAATCAAAGCACTGATAATTCTCGTGACCAATCGGAGTACTAGCGTCCCATCAAAGGGACAATTTCGCGGCTCCTCCAACTCACTCCTATCAGATAATCACCAGTAAACACAACCAACTCTAGCACCACCAATAAACAGAAACAAAAAAAACACTTTCCTGATCCCACCTCAGCCCACTACCACACCAATGACTGAATAACTAGCATATGGATAATAAATTGTATTCTTGACAAAGCTAATTAAAAACCCAAATTAAAAATTCAATAGAATTCTTCAAAGCAAAACAACACAAATATTAAATTAAAGCACTACGACGTTTGTGGAACTAAAAACCACCACGAAGACGAAGCACTAGATGGAGAGTTGATTCCTTCTGGATATTGTAGTCATTAAGAGTACGTCCGTCTTCCAGCTGCTTGCCAGCGAAAATGAGTCGTTGTTGATCTGGGGGGATGCCCTCCTTGTCCTGAATCTTCGCTTTCACATTCTCTATCGAGTCACTCGGCTCAACCTCGAGAGTAATTGTTTTACCGGTGAGGGTCTTCACAAAAATTTGCATTCCACCACGGAGACGCAAAACAAGGTGTAAGGTGGACTCCTTTTGGATGTTGTAGTCAGAAAGAGTGCGTCCATCTTCCAATTGCTTGCCGGCAAAAATCAGTCTTTGTTGGTCTGGTGGGATTCCCTCCTTATCTTGAATCTTGGCTTTTACATTCTCAATCGTATCACTAGGTTCCACTTCAAGTGTTATAGTCTTCCCAGTAAGAGTCTTTACGAAAATCTGCATACCACCTCTAAGTCGTAGAACCAAGTGAAGCGTAGACTCTTTTTGTATATTGTAATCAGACAAAGTGCGGCCATCCTCTAATTGTTTACCGGCGAATATAAGACGTTGCTGATCTGGAGGAATTCCTTCCTTATCTTGAATTTTCGCTTTTACATTTTCAATTGAATCACTGGGTTCAACTTCAAGGGTAATAGTTTTACCAGTTAGGGTCTTGACGAAGATCTGCATTCCACCACGAAGTCGAAGCACTAGATGTAGAGTAGATTCCTTCTGGATATTGTAGTCAGATAGAGTACGTCCGTCTTCCAACTGCTTGCCAGCGAAAATGAGTCGTTGTTGATCTGGGGGG